ACGCACTATTCCGATGAAAGAGACAATAAATAAACAATTTTGAAATACTGTTAGAAAAGATAGAAAAACGAATAAAATATGTCAATAAAAAAGTCAATTTGGATACAGAGATGCGGACAGTTAGACATAACTGTATTATAGAGAGTGCGACTATAGATAGAATAGCATCCAATGGCTGTGCTCTCAATGCATCCCTTTCCTAATGTAGTCCATAATATAATATCTATCAGTTTGTGTCAATATCTGCAGGAAGTCTTGAGATTAAAATTTTTGCCAATAAAATCAAAAACACTACATAACAACTCATTAAAACTTTTTTCATAATTCAACTGTATATACAAATTGAAAGGTTTATTTGTACATAAATTGTCAAACATTTCAAATATTTTTCATCAAAATCCAATTATCGTTATATAAACTCATGGTATACTGACAGCAAATATATACTAATATAAAATAAAACACATAAAAAACTTTATAAACTAATATAACTTATATTAGAAAGGGTTTACAAAAATACCATTTGCGAGGTTAGTTGAATTGATATCCGGGACATCTTCACTTGGCACACAACTAGTCTTAACAGTTGGTATTTGTTCCGACATTTATCTCTTCGCGTGGAACCGATAGAAAATGGGAACAAAATTCTTAGTGAGTATGAAATGAATGAATTGTGGAAACATTGATAGGGAATAGAGACCAGAATATGAAGCAAAACCTGTCGGAGTCGACAACTACCAGAAAACTTTGTGTTCAGACATTCAGATCGGAGTTTGATTTAGTTTTAGTCCCTTCAGAGCCAATCATAAGGCAATCAATTCCTATAAGAATATAACGTAAGGACAGTCTCTATAGCGATATATTGAGCCAATTGTAGACATAGTTGACTGATTCGCCCCAATTATAGCCCCACACTATATATCATCACTACTATAGTTCACTGCAAGTGTTATCACATTAACATAACTGCTTTTATCTGTAGTTCCTTATAGTGTACAAGTTTTGTGTCCACTTCCTATTGTTTTACATTTTATGTCAATTCATTGCCTATTAATGAGTGCTATATTATGCACAGAATATTTGCAATACTTAAGCAAATTCTGCAAAACTGTAAGAAATGAATGAATGCTTAACGATAGCACCCAATGCTAGCAAATGTAGTACTTTTTCAATGCAGTACTCAATGGACTTTCATTGACAAAGAGGTCGACATGTGTATCGTCTAACGCCATCTACTCGTAGTGTTTGCGATGAAAGTGTGGTAACAGTAGAGGTATTAGTGAACAACAAATGCCCGCATTATTCATATAATGAATCACTGGATCCGTTGAATGAATCACTGGATCCGTTATATTGANAATGAATCACTGGATCCGTTGAATGAATCACTGGATCCGTTATATTGAACCGACGATGAAAGGCACTGAAGCAGCGATGGACACGTTTGCGGACGTATCGCACAATTACCTCAACTCGCAGACCATTCAGACATATCTGCATAGTCTGAGTGGTCAGGAGAAGAGGTTCAGTGTGATAGACGCCGACCACAACTACGCTAAGCCCTGGAACCGTCATCCGGACGCTCAGATCAGAGCCAAAGCCGCCAAATTCCTCTTCATGAAGAACTTCCCCAAACACTTCGCCCGAAGATATGCTTATAATGACCACATGGTTGACGTGGACGTCGAGACAGTCGACGCCTATAAGTCGCTGCCATTCCTCGGAGGTCCGGGTGTGGAGTCGGCGTCGACTAAGGCCCAGACACTGACCACCGCTGACCTCAACAGCAATGAGTTGACGACACCCACGAAGACTGGATGGACGACACAAATGAATAAGTTGTGGACGAAAGCGACGAAAATCCTGCACTCGGATCGTCTCTCGAGACTGTCGTACGACTCGCTGCCAAACGAAGTGATTTTGAAGAAGAATCTGATGGAGAGGACGACCACTAGGTTTCGACATCTGTTCGCCAGCACCGGGTGGGACGTCAGCCAAATCTCGTGGCTTAACACCACTCTCAACGAATACGTGGGACCAGTATTTCTGGCCGCGTATCACGAGGCGATGCATATCTTGAGGGCAAAGGTTTGCTTCATTTGAACTGATTTGAAGTCATGGATCAGTTACTGATTGAATGATTGGTTGAATAGATTCCGACATTAATTGACAAGTTTTACATGCCTTCCAAATATGACTCCTCCAACCGATTCAAACCACAGACCTGTGATGCCATTCAGACAATGCTTAACAGCTATAAACCCGTAATTTAATTACTTTTACTCTTAGACTTAGACTAAGAAATTGTTTATTAATTAATGAATTATATGACAGAAACGGATTAACGGAAGTCCACTCTTCCTGATTGTACCGAATGGGCCGCAAATACCCCATCAGATGACATCTCAGCGCATGAAACACTGGCACAACCTCTTCGGCGCGTTAGGAAAAGTCATAACAATCAGTGCAGTCTCGAGACCATACGAATCGGTTCTGGATTTCTTGAGTGAAATCCGATATTCAGTTCGCGACAAAATCAAAGAATGTAAGACTACTTTCAATGAGGGCCGACCTCTGGTTTTGGTAGGCTTTGGACACTCATCTCTGGTCGCGGCCCACTGTGCTCTCGACAACGCCTCCAACGTGAACGCAACCATTTGTTTAGGGTTTCCATTGACAGCCATCAATGGATTCCGAGGAGTATGTCTCGACACTCATGAAAGCAAATACCGGACATGTATTTCAAAAACTGTTTAATGATTACAGGATTTAGACGACCCTTTGTTGGACACATCTGTGGCCACACTTTTCGTGATCGGCCAGAACTCAACGATGGCTACACTCGACGATATGGAGGACTTTCGGGAACGCATTACTAAAACCGAAACGGGTTTAGTAGTGGTCGGCGGGGCTAACGATCGACTCTTTGTGTCGAGCAATAAGAAGAAGTTCGAAGGAATAACACAAGCGATGGTCGACCGGTGTATTGCCGATGAAATCTACGAGTTTGTCAGTAGTGTCTTGAATCCCAGCTCCACCTCATTCCCGAGCACTCCTTCGCGAGCCTCGCCCTCGAAGAGCACTCAACAGAAGAGTATATCTTTCGGAGTGACAGCTATTCCTAAACCTAAGCGCAAACGTCCCTCAGCTCGAGATAAAGATAAAGACAGCACATCGAAGGGTAGACCCCGTGGGGGACAGAAGAAGGTTAAGACAGAGGCGCCCAAAACTCTACCCCAACCTCTATCGAGTTCAACCGTTACGCCTGATTCCAAACTACCTGAGCCCGTAGTCTCTATCAAACCTGTTTTGCCACCAAAACTAGCAGAACAGTCGACTCCCAAACAACAGACACCAACCGAACCGATGCCACCCATTGTATCCACAATACACTCGACAGCAGAAAAGACACCGAAACCAAAGGCTGAAGACATGACAACTCCAGAGTCGACGACAACCCTTTCGCAAACATCCAGTGACACCATTACGACCCCAAAGACGGAACGCCATTATGGACTCAGTTATGGAATCTCTGAAATGCCGACTGTTATCAGTCAGAGCGCCACCAGAACTGGCCGCCAGATCCGAGCGCCCAAATCGCTGGACGTCTAAAATCGTATATTTTATGAACAAATACTTAAATATCATAACTAAATGTCAAATCATATCAAAACAACTCATATATCCTTTAATTGTATTCATAAGTCGAAACTATTTGTGAGAAATGTATATAAAAATTATAAATTAATAGAAATTGTAATACAAATGAAGTGATGATAACTATCTAGTGGTATGTCTGGGAGTGTAGACTAGAGCTCGTCGTGATCGACATCACTCTTGGTGTACGACGTCTTGTCCGACGGCTTCACATAAACGCCTTCTTTGGTGCGCCAATAGCTGGCGCCGTCCGGATAGGACGAGCCCACGATCTCCATCTGGCCGTGGATGGGACGCCCATACGAGTGGCCGGACATCGATAACCACCTAAAGGTCGCACAAATGGCAGTCAATTATCAATTATCCAAACCCTCAGCACTCATTTGCCTCACATTTCTGTGTCCAAGTGTTTGAGCCGAAAGTCCGCATCCCTTTCCCAGTAGTCGCCGCTGCAGATGAGCGTCCAGTTGTCACCGGTATCTCCCTCTCCATTCTTGTCACCGAAAGCACTGACCTCTTGATTGCCAGACAGCGGTGACGAGAAGTGATGGCTGTGGAGGTTCTTATGGGTGGCCATGTGTTGCAGCCGCACGACTGCCCCGCACTCCATGGGTTCGCCCCTTTGGCACATGCGGTCACTCTTACCCCTGACCGACCAATAGCTGTTTACGTCCTCCGAGGCGTCGGTGCCCGTCACGGACTGCTGACCACTACCCGAGCCGTACTTCACGTCATGTGAGTGCAGTCTTACGTTATAATTAGTGTTCATTAGTTTAATGAGTGAACCGCACGTCACATACGAGTAGTGTTTGGCACTCAAACACATTGCGATGCCATTCAACCACAACAACACACAAACCCAACACCACTTCATGGCTTACGACTAATACTCGGCCTAAGATTGTATGGATTTGTTGGTCACGAGAGACACTCACGAGTGGACAGTCCGATGAAAGTGAGAGTCCAGTCAAACACTCACGCAATCTCTTCAATGCTGTGTTTGTATTGCAGTTATGATGCCATCGATTGGTCACTATTTGCGGTCATCTATGCGTTCAAACCATAAGACAATTAATTGTGAACTCAATTGAAAGTAACGCAACACTTAATACACGTCTGATTAACAATAGGAAAGCCCACTGAAGGGTGACGTCACTCACAGAGGCGTCTCAAACATAATGGTGTCGTTCCCTGAGCTGACACGAGGGGTCGCCTCCAGTACTGTGACAACAATCACTAGACTATTGCCTGCACTGAGCGTATGATTGCATTGGAAGTGCAATGAATGCAATGTTTTGGTGAAAATGGTGTCTAATTTGAGTGTGAATTTGAAACTTCTTGTGAAAGAGATTTTGATTTATTTGATTTGTAAATAACATTTGCTTTGAACAGTGATTTCACGCCAACACATGAATGCAATGTTTTGGTGAAAATGGTGTCTAATTTGAGTGTGAATTTGAAACTTCTTGTGAAAGAGATTTTGATTTATTTGATTTGTAAATAACATTTGCTTTGAACAGTGATTTCACGCCAACACATGATGCCATCGATGGTGTGATTGTCTCCAGCCATGGATTACGAGTTGAGCCAAATTGAGCCCTTAATTGTGAGTCCATTTCAAGTGCTATTCAACCCATCGTTTATTACTGAAATAAATCATTAATGAGTTATACATTGAAGTGATAATTATATCATCATTTCATACACTATTATCTCTTAGCTCTTAAGGCTATTATCTATTTGTTTCTCATTGAGGTGATGGTCTGTTCACAGGTGATGTCAAACCAGACATGGATTAGTGGTTTGAAGTTTGAGTCAAATATATGAATAAATTTAATCCTATTTTCATATTTGAGTTATTAATACATTTGGAGTTAAGCTTCAAATTAATGGTTAAAAGTATGACTCAAATAATATCATGCATTCAATACTCCTTTTTTCATATGTTTTTAATGGGTTTTTTGTGCCAAACATTCAATTCAAGTGTTTTCAATGCATTAATTATTTACATTATTTTTCAGTCTGTAATACAATTGAATATTAAATGTATTGAGAAAAGTGTAGTACATTTTGGCTGAAAAATTAGTTTAATTTTCATATACACTTGGCTTCACAATTATTATGCAAATTATAAATTGATTTTCACTACTAATTGCCCCAAAATTCATGTCATTTTCTTAGATCTTAACTTTCATTGCGATTAATTGCCTAATAATTGGTGTGTTGTATAGAAATAACACATTTATTATGCAATACTTGTGTCAAACAATCGCTCATTAGTTATGTTTATGTAATTGAAAATCTGAAGCCTTTTCTAGAAATTAGTGTTTATTTGAATTTTGCTGAATGTTTTGAGTGAAAACAAAAATCGTTTCAATTTTCCGTATTTTATTGATATAAAAAAACCAGAATTTGGTTTTTGTGGTTTCAATTTATGCTGACTTTATATGTGACTATTATTTTACTTTCAATTAATTTAGTGTTAAATTTATGATCGCAAGCAAAATATACTATAATAACAAAAAGAGTCACTTCTCCAACAGTTTCCATATAAATATAAAATTAATGATAAAAAAGTATTTCACGAATAAGTGTTAACTCTTGTAGTGTTTTGTTTGCAATGAATAATAATTGTAAAGTAAAACAAAAATGCAGTTTTTTCGCACACATTATATGGCATTATATTCAGTTCATTACAGATTTGTGATGCGGTATTAAATACATTAATAATGAGTTTACATCACAAATTGTTGAGAAAATTGAATCCCAAACCTGTCGTTCCCTCCCTTTCCACTCGTGCCAATCGTACACCTCTTTGCCATACCATTCATACCATTCCGAGTCCTCAATACTTATCGTCGAGAATATGATTTGAAAATAAGTACTAATGATTTGATAACTGAAATGTTGTTTAGGAGTCAATTGTATAATAATAGTCGACTATTTGTGGTGTTACTTCTTGTGCTAAATATCTGTGTCCTCACGACTGGGCCTTGAAGTCGATTCGGCTCTGTCTTTGAGAATCAATTTCTCTGTTTTTTGCATTTAAACCCTTGTTTTGGTACTTGTTTTCAATAATTTGGTTGTAATTCTTGATTAATAGATGTGTCGGCGACTCGTAGCACCTGTTCATCCATTTACTCGAAGTGTATTTAATTATTGTTTGACTCAATTGTCTCTAAGTATGCAAACAATTGAGACATGAATTTGATTGTTAAGACTTTATCTTTTGTGTGCAATACTTGAGCTCTTGATTAAAGCCTACATATATTTTTGGTTGTGTTATGCAATTGTTTTTTATAATCACTTGTTTTATTATAAGTTAATTTTGTTTGTTGTTTTGCATATTTCCATTAATCTACTCATAAAATCATATGAATATATTTACATTCGTGGTCTCCTATGAACCCTATGTTATGACTTTTTTGTACATTAAGTCGTAAAAATAGTATTTTCTTTATGTTTTGCTAAATTATAGTGATTTAAGTGAAATATAAGTGGAAAATATCAAATTGTATATCATATGTGTTGCCAAAACCTTTTATGAGATCTATTTTTTCAACAAATGAATTGCAGTTATTTGTGAATAATAATCAATTGTTTAGTTAATATTGTTTTGACTGATATTCTTCACTACGAATACATTATGCGATTATTTTGTTCACTCAAACAGAGCCCCGAAATCGCATTCAAATCTCAAACAATTAGACATTAGAGTCATTGTAGTTGTTGTCTGTGAGTGAATGGCAGACATTCTGTGAACACAAGTGAAACACACCATAAAAAGTCGAAAAATTAAAGTGAATTTCACTTTAAAATCATCAGTTTGTGAGCCATTATTCAGACGTTAATTTAGTCGTGCGTTACATCCAATCAAACAGATATTCCTTATTATATATTCTTGTATTCAAAGAATATATACTTTTTTTTGTAAATGAAATAGATTTCCAGGGAAAGAGGTTTTGGAGTAAAGTTTTTGCGGTGCAAACCAGTCCTGGTGTCCCTTCATGTCCTTGATCTTAAAAATGCACATCCGATCAGATTTTTTATATCCATATTTATGTTGTTCTCAATACTCCTTAAGTGATTAAAATTGAATTTTTTTGTTTTGCTTTCGTCGGCTCGAGTTTGCCTCTCGAGTCATTAAAATTGAAAATTTGTTAAAACTTTTAAAAAGTTTTTCTTTTATGTTTTGATGTGATATTTTTGGTTTTTATACAAAAATGGTTCATTTAAAGCACACTTTAAAGCACACATCGCATACCAGTGCCCATACCAGTGCCCGTTCCCTCTCGCAGCCGGTCTTTCGAGTTAGGGATAGGACTTGTATTCAACTAAAATTGGTATTTATTTTAATATACTGTATATATTGTTATTTATTTTTGTTATCTAACATAAGCCTTGTTTGCGGTATTTGTTTCTTAAATAATATATTTTTGCTCTTATGTTGTACTGAATTGAAAGGCGTTTTTGTATATAATTTATCATTTCGTATGAAATTATTGTTTGACACTTATTTAGATATTTGTTTAACAGTTTTTGCTGCGCTAACAATGTATAATATTTATTTATAGATAGTTTTATTCACATTTTTATCTCTAATCTATTTGTGTTAGAAATAAAACTAAAAATTAGTTTTTATTTGATTTTTAATTTAATTTGATTTACGAACACATAATGCATTTGCGATCGGGTTTGTGATACACTTTCCCAATGGATGCCAATGTGTTTATCTGTAATGAAAATCAAGTCCTAATCTGCAATCCCTGTCCCAATCCCAGTGCAGTGTTGATGTCCTACTGGCCTGACTGTTATTCAGCCAAATATGGAATATATAAATAAATAAATAAAATGAAACCTGTTTATAATGATTACATAAAAATATGATTACAATATTATAATAAAGTTAGCGTACTTGTGATCAATTTTGGACTTTTAAAGTAGGAGTTTTAGCCTCTAATCTGGTAGTGCCTCACTATCTGCTCGTTTTTGCCATGATTTACCAAAAAGGCTATAATTTGGGCGAATTTAATGATATTTGTTGCCGACATCTCAAGTATACAAATATTTTACAATTCATTATTCCCTTTGAAGACATGCGAAACCTTAATCCATTTGCGATAATTACCTAATCTATAACTTTTAAATTGTTTGTTAACAGTCTTAACAGTTCTTGAATTAAAACACTTTTCTCTCTAACAAACAATTTGTATCAATATATCATTAACACAGAATATAACTGTATTTTATTGTACGCTATAATGAATGGGAATTTTGTTTCGTTAAATCGATTATAAAATAGACATAAAATTTATTACTTTTTATTCCGAGGATTATGTTTCCTACAGAAATTAAATAGTCATTCATTCAGTCTATTGAATGTGGCTTTTCATAAATGTTTATCAAAATTCTTTTCACTTACATAATCATAATCTCTGCCAAAAACTTATCTACATTTTAATAGTATTAACTCATAGTCTAGTATTAAAGATAAGTTAAAGTCTTTTGTTTATTACGTGAAATCAGTCAATAATTTGAATCCAAGAGTAAATACAATTTTTTTTCTCTTAACTTATCGTTTGAATAGTCACTGATATACATAGATATACATTATTTCCTGTTCATAGTCTCCAATAGATATTTATTCGTAATAATTGGTTACAATTTTAATGCTAAACACTTTAATAATGAATAGTGAAAACTGTGAAAATTGATTGTTTGAAAGCGTTTACCTTGAGATGCAGTGTTTTGTAGTTTTAAAAACTACTCTTACAAATAGGTTTTCACCTAAAAAATGGGTCAACACCTCAACAAATTCCTTTAATTCTCTCTGTTTTTGCTTTTCTGCTTAATCTGCAAATATACTGGTTATATAAATGTCTTTTTTAATTAGCATTTATTAAAACACTTTGTCATTACTTTGCTTTTCTTGTTGCCTTTGATAATCAAAACCACTCTGACTTTGAGGCACAAAAGGAATAAAACTTTATTTATTTATGTTTTGATTTTAATGAAATGCCGATCAGTTGAATACTAATTATAATTATACATCAAATAAGGATTTGTTGTCTTTTTCATTGAGTTTTAGCACAAATTTATGATTCTTTAGATATTGTGTTGAATGAGAAGCTCTATAGAGCTCTAGAATATAGTGTTTTCTTATGGTTTGAATATTAATATAAACACAGCTTTTAATATGGATCTGGAATTAGCTCTCGATTTGGTAAACGATTAATGAAATTATAAATTTATTAAATGCTTATTACTTTTAATTAGAGTAACTTTATAATGAGTTAATTGAACTCAAAGTCTCAAACTGTGTTTTGTGTCTAATGTCTGACTGTCTGTCTGTCTGTGTATGAATAGGCGAAACAGAGGGCATCGGTTTTATGGCTTCTGTCCAAAGCGTACAACAATGAGATGCCATCGGATCTGAAGGAACCCTTCTATAAAGATCACGAAGAGAATGACAGACTTAAGCCGCAAATCACGCAATCCCTGGCCAGCGCTGAGCTGTACTGTCTGGCGTTGGCCAACATCTACTCGGACCCCAACTACCACTGTCTCAACCACTACGGCGTTATGCAAATACTTCAACGCAAAGGGGTTTATATGGTTGAGCCCAACGACGCCTCTCTCACCGAAACGGTGCTCATACAGAACGCTCCCATCAAAATGGTAGGCATTCCCATCACTATTGCAATCTATGTCTGATATATGATCTCATGTCTGCTTAACTTGTTTTTTGTCTAACATTTGTTGTGTTTATAATTAATTTTGTGATTAACTCTTGTGATTAACCCCTTCTATAGAGCGCTCATATGGTTATAATCGAAGCCATAATGACTTTGTATATAAAGGAAGTGTTGATCCCCGAGAAGGTGGCGGAAGTGGTGTCGAGGTTTGCGTACATCGAAGAGGACGAAGTTCCCGAAGATTTAGAAGAAGTGGCGATATTTTGGATAAATAAGTGTTGCGTCCGATTAAAGCAGATAATGCAGAAGGAGTTGAACTCCGATGAGAGCACCCGCGATGAGCCGACACCTACTCTGCCAATGCTGGAAGAGTTAACCGACTTAAGTGACGGCTGCAGTTTGGCGGCTCTACTCAGCTTCTACTGTCCCGATCACCTCAAATGGCAGGAGATATGTCTCAACAAAGACATGTCTTTGGCTGACTCTATATATAACCTACAATTGGTTCAGTTCTTCTGCGAAGAGAAACTTCCCTTCAATTGCTGTTTCTTAACGTTAGAGGACTTCCTATATCTTCACGACACCATTCAGACGAATATATTGGCGTTTATCGCAGATCTGCTATTTTTCTTCGAGATACGGCCCGCAGAGTGTGTCCGACAGCCGGACCTCCAGTACGCCGTCGACGAGACGGACAGTGAGATGAATAACGGCTTATATTATCCGGATTTGCCGACACCGGCAGAAATGAAGGCCAAATCACTGCAACATTCTTCGTGGGCCGACGAGAAAAATCTTGTCATTGAACAGCAAACAAACGGCTCGCCGCCCACACGACCCCCACGCCGCTCCCTGTCGAGCGCCAAACTCGCCAATCGGCACAAGAGTGTGTCCTCTCAGCACCCCTCCGACGAGGACGAAGAGCTCACCCGTTATTTCTCGAACATCGACTTCAAGGGCGACAACGAGGCGTCGCCCGAGATCTTGATGATCAACGAGAAGAATGCACACAAGAAGCCACTCAATACGGGCCCCAAATCTATCAATACGTACGCCAATAATAATCGCAGAGAAAGTGTTAGGGATTCCGACGAAAACGATGTGATTTTGTCGACGTCTCCGCAAAAACAATCAAATAATAACACTTATAATGAAATGAGTGACAAGTCTTCGTCGCAATTAACTAATTACTTCACATCATTAGCGCAAACCAATGCCAGTGCGACCACCACTCGGAGGCCGAGCGCCTCCAATGCGCGCAAATCTAATCAACAAAACTTAATGAACTCATCAATAGTTTTAGGGACAGATTCGCCGCCATTGCCGGTGACCAACACATCAAACACTAGTTTTTCTAAAAATAGTTCACAAAATTCATCAAAGATTTTACCGTCAGCTCCGCCGGAGGCCGAGTCGGTCATCAATATCGCGTATTTGCCTAAAAACGACAAAACCTCTAATAGTAGTAATTATTTGCCGCCAGTCTCTCAGTCGAGCCAAACACTCGCATCAAAGCCCTCATCAAACACATCAACAAATAGTAATACATTTAAGTTAAACGCATCACAAAATTCAGTGCAAACCATACCCACCGTCGGTGCGGACCAACCGTTTTATCTCCAAGAAGACGACGCCAGTAGTGGTCAGAGGAGTCTTCTGATGGCATATAATTCTCGGCCAAATGTGTCGCAAATGAGTAAAAGTGATTCAATCGACTCGTTGTTAGACGAGAACGACGCGAGAGATTCGGTCGACTCTGAGATCGCATCACAGGTTCACAACATACGGATGAAACTCGAAGAGAAGCGCCGGAAGATTGAACTCGAGAGACAAACGGCTGAAGAGGAATGGAAGTCCAGTCGACAGAACATCGGCAAAGAGGCGTTCATGAGAGTTATCCACAAGAATGGTAACCAAGAAATACCGAATCAAGAAATGCCTAATCAAGTGATGCCTAACCAAGTGATGCACAATCCAGTGATGCCTCATATGCTCCAAAACCATCAGATGATGGCCTCTCAAGAGCTTATGAATCATCAGATGCTTAATCATCAGATGAACCAACAGATGAATCAACAGATGATGGCACCCGATATGATGAACCATCAAATGCATGGCCAGCATATGGTTAACCATTCGATGATAGCACCAGAATATATGAACCAACGAATTATGAGCCATCAGATGATGAACGCACCGCAAGTGATTCATCACCAGTTAGTTAATCATCAAATGATGGCAAATCCACCACAAGTTATGTCTCATCAAATGGTCGCTCAAAACCCGAACCCATATTATATGAATTCTCAGCCAAATATGACAAACATGTCGGGCGTCTCCATTCCTCCACAACAAGTGTTTGAAGAGTACACTCAACAACAGCAACAGATGTTCTCTTCTTCGCCCAACTCTAAGCCATTAATCGGCCGAACGTTTCGTGTTATGAAACCCAAAGTCATGTCACCCGACGCTTCCGAACACAACTCTCCCACCCGTTCTGTCAGTGAATATTCTGACGAAGGGTTCAATAACTACGAGAAGAGTACGAAAAGCTCTTCGAGTGGTTCGACAACGAAAGAGGGCTCGACTGCCGAAGACTTTACTTCGAAAGAGGCGTTCTTTATATCGTTTGATAGCGAAGCCAAACCCAAAGCACCGAAACCCGGTCTAAGACCCAAACAAGTGAAACAACAGCAACAGATGAGACGCGAACTCAAGTCATCGCTTAACGCCCATCAGGAACGAGACAATCAGTCATCGCCTCATCGATCGAATGGTACGTTAGATGAGACGCCGACCGGAGAGACCGGAGTTGTGAATTCGGTGTCTCCGGGCGTGGGGTTCGTAATCGGCGCCGATTTAGTACATCCAGACATGAGTAGTGAACTAGAAATGGCCAAAAAGAAGGAGTCAATTATGTTGCAGTCACTGAAGCGAAGGGAACGACAGGAGGCCGAGAGGGCTAAGAAGGAGCAGAGTTTGGCTCAGAAACGAGAAGACGAGCGAATGAGACGCGAGAGCTCTGACCGCAAGAAAGAGGAGGAGAGGACTAAACGGCAGTTCATTCTCGAGCAGTACAGACACCGAAAGGCTGCCGAAGAGATGGAGAAGAACGGGTCGCTGTCGTCGAAAGACTCGGTGCGCAGCAGTAGTACTCTTGTGCTAAACAGACCGTCGCGTCAACGCCTCTTCCAGAAGCCGCGGCCCAAATCGCTGCACGTCTCGGCCTCAAACATTCAGGACTACTCGTCCCTCGACTGCAACAAATCGCGTATCGTTGACGACACGGACGCCTGTGCTCTCCTCTCATCCAACTCTAACTTCTCGCGACCCGAGTCCGCGATGTCCGGCCATTCCAAGAGCTCTGCGTTTGTGACTTCGCCCACAAGTCATGGCCAACACGTTCCTCCCTTTATGTTCTCCCGATTCAGAGGCCCTCCGAGTGACGGCGCCTCCGATGCCGGCTCTGTCTATACTGAATACACGGGCCCTAAACTGTTTGTGAAGCCCAGTCAGAAGTCCAACAAAGTATTGATATTGAATGCCATTAATGTCGTGTTGGCCGGTGCTGTGAACGCCGACACCAAAAAGAAAGTCTTAGAGGTATGCAGTGAACTGAATGTTTGTTTTGGTGTTTGAAACTAATTGACTGATCGTATGGTTTGTTTAGCACATCAATGGCTCCGATAGTAAGCATTATTTAATTTTGTTCCGCAATGCGGGCCTACAGTTCAGAGCCGTCTATACCTATAATCCCGATCGCGAAGAAGTGTTCAAACTGTTCGGAACGGGTCCTAAGACTGTCACAAATGAATTCATCGAACGTTTCTATAAGTAATATAGTATTTATCGATTTGTATGACAAATGGTGTTTTAAATGTGTTTTTCGTGTTTATCTCACAACAGATACAACTCCGGGAGTAAAAGTTTTGCTGAAATTCAAACCAAACATTTAAGTGTAACAATCGATGCCTTCATTATTCATAATAATTTGTGGACCGGAAAGAGAGTAATACCTAAAAGGGATTTACTTTAGTGTATATGAGATTTTGTATATCAAATGAATTTATATTTAAATTTAGTTTTGTTATAAAAAAGTGATTAACATTTGAATTGTTGGAAAAATAGTATATATTATCAGTCGTTCTGTTTTATTTAAAAATGAATTCTTTTCACTACTTATTATACAAATATTTGATAAAAGACAGCATTTTTTGGTTGAATTGTTTAAAGTATTGCGAAAACTGCAGCTAATAATCGATTAACATATTAATTGAATGCCCGATACATTCCACTCGCTTTGAGTTGAGACTCAATTTTGTGAAAATCAGTATATAATTTGGAAATACAAGTGAAACTAAACGTGTGCCTAAAAACTGAGAAATGCTTTCTTGCATTGAAATGATGTGATGCTTAATATATTCAATAATTTATAGAATTCTAATTAATTCATTAATTGTATTAATTTTCTGTGAAATGATCGCATTTCGCTCTCATTTTTCTAATCTCTGTTCATCTAATTATATAAATATACTATAAATAAATATATTATTATATACAGTAAACGATTATATAGTTTTAAAACTACACCTTCCGTTTAAAACGCCTTTTTATATAATTGTTTTAATTTTTTGGCTTAAATCTTGATTCTAATCGCTATTTTAAACTACTGTGCCATTGAAACCCATTCACCAACACAAACGCATATGTTTTAAACTCATTTAAAAGTTAAAATCGTTTTAATAAAAGCTTTTTTTAGTAATTATTTAACAATTTTTAATAATTATCTCATCAATAAAAGCAATTTTTATGTTGTTTACTAAAAATTAAATAATTGTTTTATATAACCATATAATTGATGAGTAAATGTAAAAACCAAACCAAAGGTTGAGACAATCATTTGACGACAACGTTGGACAATGTTTTGGCGGTCACTAAGCCTTTGGACTCTACTTTAAACGGCTCGCCCTTATAAGTGGCCACACATTGCGAGTCGGTCTTCAAGTCGGGTGCGATTTGTTCCCAAATCTTCTTCTTTGGATTCAGTTGCGAATCAGCCGTTCCTTCCGTTAAGAAGCGATGGATTTAATACAAAATAAGATGCAAACAAATAGCGAATATAATAAATACCCGGATACTTATCAAAGACCACGCGATCGCCGGGAACGGAGCCCTCGGGCGGCGACAGTATTTCCACCTTTTCTGGAGTGGACGCACACATAACCATCGCTTCCGAAGTGATTCCTCGCATTTTTGCCGGCTTTAGGTTACATAAGACCACAACTAATCGGTTGTTCATCTCCTCCAACGGCACAAACTTCACTAAACCGGACACAACTGTCCGCGGCTTCTCTTCGCCACAATCGATGTCCTCGACGTACAGACTGTCGGCGTCGGGATGTCTTTTGGCAGATAGGATGCGACCGACCCTTAAGTCTAGTCGCGAGACATCCAACGGCTTATTGTCGTCGGCATTGGCTGAGGGCTTGTTTGCACCCACTTTGGGCTCCTTCTTCGGCTTCTCCTTCTTCTCAGTCTTTTGTGACACTCTTGTGTTGTCGACGCCATCGAGTGGTGTCTTCTCAGAGGTCTTCGCGTCACTCAACACTCCATTGGGCGTCGGTTTGCAGACAAACACCGCGTTTGGGTCTCGTTTGGCCTCCAATTCATTCAAAGTGGTCACCAATCGGTTCACTTCTGCCGTCAGACTCTTGTTCTCGTGAGTGAGTCGTTGTCTCTCGACATTGATCTCCTCTGCGGTCAACACGTGTTTCGTTGCTTTCGCTTCAATGGACCGCTCTTTGAGTGCAATCTTTTGCTCCAAATCACGGATTTTCGACAATATTTTTATGTGATTTGTGTTGATCTCATCGATAATCTTATCCATTGATGTCATTACAAGATATCTCAGGCGATGTCCTCTGATCTGAACCAACGGTTTGCTTACAATTGTCTTCAAAAGCACTGAAATTACAAGTTTTGGCCCAAAAGTCGTGAAAAACATTTACCGATTCATACATAAACAACGTTTCGATATATTAGACGGGGGTTTGAGTGGACGAAAGGGGGGTTAGTGTGCAGTGAATGCAATCAATTGGTTTGAAATATAATTGAGTGCAACTCATTGCTTCACATTTATGTTTAGCCCCACATGTGGTCTACGAGTTTCAGTCATTTTCCACTCAATTTAGACTTTTAATCAACTTTTTATGAATTAATTATGAATTTCTAATTCATTGCCAATCAATGCAAATGGTTTCACGTTTACGTCAACCCTTTCAACACGTAATGCATTGAATGCGGGATTCAATGTATTTCGTCAATCATTTGTCAAAAGTGAATGATTATCAGAAAAGGGCTCAAATGAAGTGCACTATAGACTGTCGACTCATTACTTTTTATTTCTACATTTGTCAGCATTTATTTAATATTGACTGCGAGTACCGTATAATTTCGCTATGAAAGTCAGACCAAAGGATTAAACATTTCACTATTCATTGAACTCAATATTAATTTACAAATTAAACAATATTCAAGTATATATTTATTCACAATAATGAAAAGTTCATTATACGTATTCACACGTGTATTACACAGAGTGTGAGTAATAAGTGTATATAAAAGCGCGACTCGACTGTAGCTGTGATTGACGTCAGAGTCGTGAGGAAACGGAAGTGTCGAGCGTTTGAGTCGAGGATTGCATTCATTTTTAAGGCAATCATTGATTGAGTCTATGATTGAGTCGTTGTTTCATTGCTCTCACCATTGAATGCAACGTTTGAATCGATTTTAATAGCAATTGAATTACAATTAGATTTGATTTTTATATAAAAACTATTTATTATAAAAAGTATTTATTTGTCATCTGAAGAGACAATCGCCTGAATAGAGAGATATGTCTTACTATCCGACGAATGGGACCACAGATGTGGCCATCACTGGGACCTCTGCCACCGCTGCCATTGTCTCCCATCAGCCGCACCACCAAAACGGCCTCAATCTGCGAGTGGATCCCAATTTGGATGCGAAGGAGTTTTGGCGTAAATACGACATCACTGTCCACGGGAAGGACGCGCCCCTACCGCTCATGTCGATGGTGTCCTACAAGTGGCCGCAACGCATACAGGAGGCCCTGGAGGCGGACCAGTTCACGGCCCCCACACCCATACAGTGCCAGTCGTGGCCCATCGCACTGTCCGGTCGTGATCTCGTGGGAGTGGCGCAGACGGGCTCCGGGAAGACGTTGTGCTATGTTTTGCCCGCTTTTGTCAAAATACTCAAAGATCGGCCCCAAAGAGGCCCCAAGTGTCTGGTGTTGGCGCCCACTCGCGAGTTGGCCCAACAGATCCAGGAAGTGGTCCGCAGATACCGGTTCGCCAACAACGTGTGTCTCTATGGCGGCGCCTCCAGAGGCCCACAGATGAGGCAATTGCGTGAAATGAATCCGCAGATTATAATCGCAACGCCCGGACGGATGATTGACTTCGTGGAGAGCCGTACTGTAGACCTGCGGACAGTGGACTACCTGGTGCTGGACGAGGCCGACCGCATGCTTGACATGGGCTTTGAGCCACAGCTCAAGAAAATCATCGCTCAGTTGCCTCGAGAGCGCCAGACCCTCATGTGGTCGGCCACGTGGCCCAAGGAGGTGAAGGCATTGGCCGCCCAATACATGGCGGACTACATTCAGATCAATGTCGGCGGCACTGAACTGACGGCCAACAAGAATATCAAGCAATACGTGGAGGTCTGCGAGGAATTCGACAAAAAGCAGAAACTGTTTGATCTGTTGACGAAGATTAGAGCCGATTCTCGAGAGAATAAGACGATTATCTTCGCGGAGACCAAACGCAAGACCAATGATTTGGCGAATGAGTTGCGCGCCAGTGGATGGCCGTCCGCCTGCATTCACGGCGATAAACCACAACACGAGAGGGATTGGGTTCTCAAAGGTATGCCATTGTTTTAGATGTCTTATGAATGGCTGACTAATTGGTGATATCTGTATAGAGTTCCGAACGGGTCGTTCCCCTATTCTTGTGGCCACAGACGTGGCCGCCCGTGGATTGGGTAAGTCATGAGTTTTTGTTGACAACCCTTACAACAGTTAGTTAACAACTGCGAGAAATGATTGAAGAATTGCAGACAATTGTAACAATTGTGAGTCAATCGCATCTGGGTTTGTATTACCGGTTCCGGTAATAAATGGCTTTTAAATAAATTAGGCGTAAGTTTCGTGAATCGGATTTCGTTGTAAACCGGAATCGGATCACAAGAAACTGTTAGACATTGAGTGGCAAACGGCATGAAAATGAGATTAAATGCAAATACAGTTAATGAAAACACTAATAATCGGCGCTCCTATGATCCATGTGCTGATGTATTAACTGTTAAAGAAAAATAAAACAAAAATTCTCCGTGAGTGGCATACTATCTTACCTCAGCTTATATACGCTATGACGGCATATACAACCGAGATAAAACATACATAACCACGGAGAGAATGGAGGTACAGGAGGATCAGAGTGAGGACTAACTCATGCCTGGATGCGAACCATACACTCAGTGCTGCCTTTCAATCAATTATCGGTAAAATTGTATTAATTTTGTTTTATTGGCTCTTAAACTAATTGTAAGATTTGGTAATATTATAGACTATTGTTTAGTGTTTTTGCCATTTTGTTAGACTTACTGTACTTTCCATGTGTTGTCACTTCCATTGACTTAACTTTACTTTCGTTATATTCACGAATAACTAATCTATTGAATGACTGAATACACAGATGTGGACGACATTAAGTGTGTAATCAATTATGATTATCCAAACTCTGGTGAGGACTATGTCCACCGAATTGGTCGTACCGGTCGTCGCGATAAGAAGGGAACGGCGTTTACTTTCTTCACGTCTGCGAACGCCAAACAGGCGAATGAGTTGATCGATGTCCTCAAAGAGGCCGAACAGGTGATCGAACCCAAGCTCTACGATTTGGCCCAACAGTCGAGATACATGGGTAACAACAAACGGCGCCGCTATGGACACGTCGGTGGTGGCGGCGGTTGGAGTAACGGCCGCTCCAATGGATACGGCGGATCCGGTGGAGGAGGTAGTGGTGGCTATAAGCGTAAGTTTGAGGGACAGAATGGCGGTCCCGACGCCAAGAGACCCGTGAGAAGAGATTATGACTCATCCAGTAGTAAACGATTTGGATCTCAAAGTTCTTCTTATACTAATGGTTATAATTCTCAGAACAAGAGTTCAGTCACTTCTAACTCCTACTCGTCCAACGGAACGGTATCCGCCAACCGGTACAGCAGTTGGGATTGATTTCTAGCGAAACTTAACTATTAATTATAATTATTATTAATTTCCATTTCCATTATATTTAACGTCTCTTTTTTCATTTGGAACTTATTTTTCTAATAATAGTCTTAATTATAAATTGATAATACATTTTGAGATCTATTTAGCGCTCAAATTAGTATTTTAGTAAATGTTTAGAATCTAAATACCATTTTTAGAGTATTATTATTATTATTATTATGTATGAAAACCATTTCGTGTATTGTTTTGTGTAATCTTTTTAATAGCTATTTAAAGAAATGTCTCAAATTTTTGAACATATCTTAAGTTCTCACAAATTGATGTAAATTGTAATGTTTTGCAAATAAATGCATTTTAATTGATTACTAATGTGTAACGTTTCATTTATATTAAATTGATAATTTATATTTATTGACAGTATTTGATGTCTAACTGTTTTGTACTGATTGGATTAAAGGTATAAAAGTCTTACCGTTTCTGTGGCTGTACTGAATCCACAATTTATTGAATCAATTTATCAAATAAGTGCTAATAAATGATTGAACCATTAATCTTAAAAAGTAAATCATTAAACACTTTATTTTAACTTTTATTTAATACACGATTAGTCAATAACTTTATTATGAGATATTGGTATTGATATAATCAAATAAGTGCTAATAAATGATTGAACCATTAATCTTAAAAAGTAAATCATTAAACACTTTATTTTAACTTTTATTTAATACACGATTAGTCAATAACTTTATTATGAGATATTGGTATTGATATTGTGCCGACCCTTTCAAAGATTAATATTTGCATAATTTGTTTGATTTGATTGAAACATGAATTTTTTCTTGCTGGAACATAATTTTTAAAATGTAATTTAGAAATTAGTTTGGTACTAGGTTAGACTAGAATTGTTTATCTCGTTTTAATTTAGCCCTCTAATTTAGTGATCATTTTGATTTTTTGTGTCTAAAACTTTTCGCAATTCAATTAAAATTTAAGTGTACTAGCTACCGTACATAGTATGCTTACATATTTAAATAGTGAATTAATAGCATTGAATTGAATGAGAAATGATTTATAGTTTGAGGCAATTTATGGTTAAATATAATAGTTGTGGTCCCTATGTTTTTTATAAAATATGAGAAATTACTAAAATTAAGCTCAAATAATAAAAGTTTATTAGCAAAAAGCGAAACTCAAATATTTGATCATTAATTAAGTATTCAGTTCACAATGCATTCAAATTAAGCAATTCTTCGCTCATAAAGCCAAACCCATAATGCAAACTACATATCATTTTCATGTAATTCAAGTATTGAATTCAAAATACAATTTTATAACAAAATTTTTTATGAAAGCCATTTATTTGGCTATTTTCTAAATAACTAATCAAATGTTTTGAATGTGAATGAGAGACAGAATTCTCATCGGATTTGTATATAAAGTAATACTTTAAAAGTATTAACAATTCATAGAAATTGAAAAAACATTAATATTTTGTTAAAACTTAATAATAATGATAATAATCATCGGGTTTTAAAAACATGTTCAATTGTCTCAAACACTTTAAACGATTAATTTGAATAAAAATCAATAAAAAATAGATGTATATAATGAATAATGATTTATTTAATGAAAACTGATAACAATTTTCGTATTATATAATAAGTTATTTATTATAATCGAAAGACTTTTGTATTGTTATTCACTTTAATGTGTATTTATTCTGATTTGCTTTTTATAGTATTATTAAAGTGTTGAGTGTTTTATATGCAATCAACTGTTAGACGGCTTTCCACAGAGTTATCGTTTAAGCACTTCTTGTATTGATCGATGAAATGTATAGAAAGAGATGAGAGATAAGTATAATAATAAAGTCACAGATGATGTCAAATGATGAGTGTGTGATGTATGGTATGGTATGACCTTTTGATGACAATAAAGGACATCCACATGAACAGTACAGACACAGCCAGACATACAGACATTCACTGTGTGTATAACACTTTGAGCATTGATTTAGACTATAATCATAAAAATCTATTACTTTATTCACTATAGCTTTCAATGAGAGTTATGTCCGAGTTTTGAGAAACAGATGAAAATATTTGTCTTTTTATATAGAAATATGAAATCACTTTGTCTTCAAATGTTCAGACGATATAACGACTACTTGGGAACAGTTGTCAACAATAGGCTGTTCCAGAGCTCGAGTTAGCACTGGTTCGCGAAGACTTACGTCCCGATGAAGGCTTGCTCTGAGATGTGTCTCTCTCGTGGCGGCAATGGTGTGCACCTGAGGATGAGCGCCCGTCTTGGCATCCACTGTCACCTCCGTGTTGGTCGTGGCTATGGGCGCACCAGGCTCGTTTGTGGTGATTATGGATGCGCTGGGAGTAGCAGTGGTGCCGGCGTTTGCGGCCATTACCGGCGATTTATCGCATGGATTAGTCACACTCTGTGTGCTAACTGCCGGCGCTGTAGTGGTTGTGCTGTGAATGCATTGAACATTTGGGACGGCATTGATTCGATAGCTCTTCTCATTTATAGATCCTTTTGAACAGAATATCGAGAGAAACAGACTTTCATTAATACTTTGGGATCCAAAAGCAATTGAAAATAGAAATCTACTCTTTATTGTAATGTTTAGTAAAGTGTTTTAATTTGAGTTAACAGTCATTTGTAAAGTATTTGAATTTGAGTTAACAGTCATTTGTCTTTTGTATTGATTCGAGTCGAGAACATCCATCACTTAATAGACACTTATTTCACTCTTTTAATCAAATAATTCTCTTTTGACACATAAATTGTAACAACTTTTTGAAAACTAGGGTTTTTTGTTAATACAAGACCAGTAGTACATTAATAGTAGTACTCAATCACTTCGGTCTTAAATTATTGATTAGAAGTCAATGGAATAACTAATAGGTATTCAAAGTGTAGACAGACTTTCAAAGACTAATATTATTTTTCGCTTAATGTTATATAATATTTAAGTCAAAACACATTCAGTATGTGTTTAGAAAAGCAAAGGCAGTGACCAACGGATGAGGCGCTGTAGTGGTTGTGCTGTGAATGCATTGAACATTTGGGACGGCATTGATTCGATAGCTCTTCTCATTTATAGATCCTTTTGAACAGAATATCGAGAGAAACAGACTTTCATTAATACTTTGGGTGACAAAAGCAATTGAAAATAGAAATCTACTCTTTATTGTAATGTTTAGTAAAGTGTTTTAATTTGAGTTAACAGTTATTTGTAAAGTATTTTAATTTGAGTTAACAGTCATTTGTCTTTTGTATTGATTTGAGTCGAGAACATCCATCACTTAATAGACACTTATTTCACTCTTTTAATCAAATAATTCTCTTTTGACACATAAATTGTAACAACTTTTTGAAAACTAGAGTTTTTTGTTAATACAAGACCAGTAGCTGTAGTAATAGTAGTACTCAATCACTTCGGTCTTAAATTATTGATTAGAAGTCAATGGAATAACGTTATCCATAAGTTTCACATCTGTCTGAAAGTTTCTGATTATAATAAAAAGCGAATTACAATATATTATAAATTCAGTTTTGTGTAAGTCATACACAAATCTTTTCGTTTCCGTCACTGGTTGCCTACGTAAGCCCGGAGGCAGAGCCACGGTTGACACCATCTGATCATATATTGTGTTCAATATTCACGAGTTGTCGATCTGCTAATGATCTCAAATACTGTGAAACTAATGTCAAGAAATGCCTCAATAATATACTAGTATTAGATGTAAACTATGTTTAATTTGTCGTCTCTTATCTTTACTTCTTTAGCGAAAGTCCTTCACATCTGAAGATCAATAAAAAATTCTTTTCATTCATCGGAAAATGAAATTTTGGTCGCTTTTGATCAGATTTTGTGCTATAAATTGACTTAAACTCTATTGATATAAAGACGTGATTGTGATATCAGATGTAATATCTGATGTGATTTTATTAAGACATATAAAGCAAAAGATATTTGACTCGAAAAATACTAATGCATTCTGAATAAGAAGTCAATCAATAAAAAGATCAAATGAAGACCAAAAGAATATTATAAAAACCAAAATTAAATGACTGAATCGGGAGTCATAACAAAGTTTTTGCCATTAAGAGTGACACTATTTTATAATCACATGTAATCATATAAATGACATTTTTATGGTAATCTATTTGACTATTCTTTGTTACTATTTAAACAGTTTTGGTTTTATTTGCAAAGATATGCCAAATAAAAACATAAAATCATATCAAACCTGATTTGGGAGATATATCGTAAGAAATTTTCACGGCATTCATACGCCGATTAGCGCCCGACTGTTGTACTGGAGTATTGGCCTTATTATTGTCATTCATGGGGTCGTTATCTTGGGGCACATTACACACCCTCCGTCTCTGTCGGGGCAGCTTTTCACGCGCCTGAGTGTGTGAGTAAAACATTGTAAAGTTGGACACAATGACGGGCACCGGGAGGGCGATGGTGAGCACACCGGCCAGTGCGCACAGGGCGCCCACAAGCATTCCGGCGTAAGTGCGGGGCACCATATCTCCTATATAATGACACTTAGCATTAGTTTGAGTTGTTTTATGACAAAAGTAACAAAAGTAGATATTGTGACAAAAGTAATACCATATCCGACAGTAGTCATGGTGACGATGGCCCACCACAAGCCTTCGGGAATACTTTTAAAGTCATTCCTGGGGTTCGCCTGAAGACGTTCGGCATAATAGACAAGACTCGCGAATATAACGATTCCCAACACCAGAAAGAAGACCAATAAAAACAATTCCTTAGCACTGGCTTTGAATGTGTGAACTAATATCTTAAGACCCCGGGAATGTCGGGTCAGCTTAAAGAGCCTTAATATACGAATAATGCTGAAGAAGTCGAGAATATCAGCGTTTTCTATATCAGCGGCCAATCTCTGCAGAATCATATCCGAGTAGAAAGACATGGTTGCGATGAAGTCGATTACGTTAATCATATCGCGAACGAAATCTAATTTACTGGGACTGACCTAAACAGACAAACAGACGGCAGGGCAATGGGAGGAACGGTATGATTATGTATGTAATTATCAGCTCATTATTCAACACATTTTTTCTTTTGCGGGTTTTGGTTATTGTCTGAATATACAGAAGATATTACAATATAAGGGAAGCCATTATTGGAGTGAAAATAAATTTCTATTATTTTTTATTTTTCCACAAATGAGACCAAAATATATAGAATATTCGCTAAAAAGAAAGATTTTGTGGAGATTTATCTAAAGCCCGGATATTTGTTATATTCAAACAAATGCCAAATACATGTGAAAGACTACTTGTGTTCTCACATTTCATACACTACTTCAATACTACGGTATATGTAACCATACCGTGAATTGTCTGCCCATACATTTGTCTCACAATTGATCAATAAATTCAAACCCTATCTACGGTTGAATGCCATTCATAAGCATTGATAGATACCATTCCTCTCATTCACCTCTCGTATCAGATCTCTTTGAAAATATGATTAAGTGATGGACTTTAAAAAATGAAAACATATTTCACCAGTAGCATATGAAACTGGTAGTTTTGACAACTGAAAGTTTTAATACTTTTTGTGATTCTTATGATTTGGCCATTTATTTAAGCGGAAAATATTTGTTTTTGTATATACAGTAAAGATTTAAATTTTTAGATTTAGTAAACATCAGACAAAATCTAATAAATGTTGCATTCAATGGGAGACAACTTTGAAAACATATAAGATTATAATGGCTCACAAAAGAAACTAATGTTAATTTTGGGATTTTTAATACTAACAATTGTTATATATGAGTTTCATTATTTTCTATTTTAATAAAACTACAATAGAGTATTATTTTTGAATTTTTATTTTTATTTTATGTAAATTTCTTTTATATTCAAAGTCGTCAAAAGAAAATATTTGATACTTTAAGGCGTTTTAGTTTGAAATATAAATTTAAAAACTTTCATACATTTAAACATTTAATTCTAATATTCTTCATAACTTTATGTCATATTCTGTGTCTGAGTTGTGTCTCAAATATCGGCCAAAAGTTAATATAAAACATTCAAAACAATCTGCGATTTCATATATATTTTGTTTAAATTATATTTTATATATTCAAACGACTAAAGCAAATGAAATGAAATCTCAAACTCCGAGTCTATAATTAAGACGTCAACCAAAAGCCGTGATTTTGTGTGAACTAATGTATGGGAAAGTGGTGATGGAAGTCATACCACAAATCTCATGGCGATCTCGAATGAGAACCAGGCGTTGCATATGCTCTCAATGTAGTAGAAGGCCTCGTGAGCGTCGGTCTTGAATTTGTCGAGAGTCCAGGTCGTGGTGTTGAGGTGTGTGTACACCGTCTTGTTATGGATGACCGGCACTCGCATATTCGGGTGAGTTTTCAAACAAAACGAAAATATTGATACACATATGAAAAATACTGATATCACAGCCACCACCTAAGCAAATGAAATGGACACACACTTTGGTTAAGGCATTGTCAATATATGTCTTATCATTATATTATTTATTTATCTAGTTAAATTGCTAATTATTGATTTATGTAGCCATGATAGACACATAATCATATCGAAACCTATAAAGAACTCATTATGTGACATTTGCTTTTAGACTTATAAATAATTATGAAATGTAATGTAATGACACATAAGTTTCACTATTTACAAAGGTGTAAAGGTAGATTTATCTCAATTCTTATCTCATTCTTATGAATAATTTTTTCTTTTTCAATAAAATGTGTGTATTAAGGAAAAATGTGCCAGATATTAATTCATAACATTATGCGATCAAAAATGTTGAATAATAGAATTTATGAATGGATTAACGACTTATGAATTTGGATTATACCGTATTCACACAAATAAAAACGGAAAATCAATGAATTAATTTTCTTACATTAATATTAATGTTATTTCTAAGTCCTCTTTTATTTTAAATGAAAATAATATAGTATAAGAATTTTTACTATAAAAGATTTTTTAACACAATAAGATTTTTTCAACTTAAATGCATCCAACAAATTGTTATTCTTTAACAAAAAATTTATTAAATTTTATTATTATAATATTTTAGCGTATAAATAATATTACCAGTATTTTTATTGTTATTCTTATTACAATGTTATTATTATTGCCGGTATTAGAGTATTATTATAATAAATATCATAGAAAATTTAACAAAATTTTATAGTTTATTCAAGAATTAATTAAAATTTATTATCAAATATGTTCTGGATATTAAATAATAATAATTTATAATTAAAACATTTTTAACGATGTGTTTATATAAAATTTTAAGATGTCAATATTTATTCAATGTGAAAATGATGTCTAATTTTGATATTAATTATAATTAATCCCTATTTGAAATGTTTGACTATTCATTAAGGCATTAAGACAATCATTTAAAAATGTGCTAATCGATTTATTCAAATTTTATAAATACTGAGACCTTAATTTATTTATCAACAATAATTTTCAATAAATCGTTTAATATAACAAAGCGATACTGTATTAACTCATGTTTAATTAAACATGTGATTTATTTATAACTTATTAAAATGATTCTAAAATAAATTGTCATTTTGGACATAAATATAGCAAAATCAAATCAAATGATAGACCATTATTAGAAATTTTGTTAGTTATAGGCTTTAGTTATGAGAAGACACGCGAAGCTATTTATATGTCATATATTAAAGCGAATCAAACATTTCTCGAGTCAACGGAAGTCAACGGAATCTGTGATGAGTGGAAGGGATGATGGGATGAGAGACTGAGCGAGTGATCGGGAATTACATTAAGAATTTAAATTAATGCTATTATCAACGGATCACTAATGACTTCATTGCACTTCTTATTTAATATTGTAACAAGTTTTCAGGTTTTATGTGTTTTTGTTTGAGTTAATCAAAAATCGATACTAAAAACCAGACGTTAGAGACACCGACGTGTGTGTGTGTGTGTGTGTGTGTCTTCTCATAACTAAAGCCTATAACTAACAAAATTTCTAATAATGGTCTATCATTTGATTTGATTTTGCTATATTTATGTCCAAAATGACAATTT